TCACTTCCATTAGCAATCCATTGGCGTCTTCAACCACTTCCAAACATTTCAGTTTTCCTGTAATTAGTTCAGTTAGTGAAGTTATCAGTACTCAAGCTGTTATCCCAACATCTATTACCGTTACTTCTATAGTAAGTCTACCTAGTAGCATAAGTTTCGGTTTTACTTCTACATCCAACACATCTTCTCCATCCACCCCAGTGGCTAGTGCAAGTACAGTATTAGCAACTGCCGTTACATCAGTTTCATTTTCTTTCTCTACTGCTTCTACCGCCCACGTATCAATTTTGAAGGAACCAACAATCATTTCAACAATAGCTGTAACTACGTCAGCTTCAGTCTCAAATCCAGTATTTCCATTAGTTACCAATTTCAGTGCTGTCTCAACATCTGAAAGTAGTTCTGCAGTAGTTCCATCTTCCATATTTACTTTTCCGACCAGCACGATAACTACATCTGCCACAATAATTTCTGTAACGGCGACAACAACAGCGACACAGAAGATCACTCCTGCTTTCTCTTTTTCATTTCCACCCACTTCATCGACTCCTTTACAAACGACTAGTAAGTTCTTAAATGTAATTATTTTCTCCGAAATTCTTTGGTAACAATATAGCCATTGTTCACGATTTTATCTGTCGTTTAATATTTACAACCAAATTTGAATCTATGCATGTACATAGGAAAATCATTTTAAAACACTAAAGCTGTTATGTCCCCAAATGCCCTCTGAATGTCTTCATTGATAAAAGTCAACTAAATTAATCTGTTTATTTATAAAGTATGGTGGAATGTTTGGATGACCATCAGAGTAATGGATTATGATACGACCGATTACAAAAAGTTTTAATTTTGAACATTTATAGAGAGCCTATCCTTGCGATGGTTAAAGCCTTCACTAGAAGTTGCTATGTATTATCACTTCTATCCTTTCATTGATTGTATTTGATTATAAATGAAAATAGCTACCCACTATTTGTGTTGATCGAAAATTTAGAATTCAGTTTGCAAAGCTATTAAAATACATGTTATCCACTTATTATTCATTATATTTATTTAAACACATAAACATTTGTATAAGAAGGCACTAAATATATATGCGACACACTTCGTCGTTCGATGTGTGTGGGGGCTGGAGTGCCACCCGGGCGCTCAAACCGAAGCATGTTATCCAATCACTGAATTAATATTTTTGGCAAACTGTACGTTGGTTATGATTAACTGAGTGGCTGAATCCATATTCTGATTTGTTCCCCATGTGTGTTGATGTATACATTAAGGTTTATAAATACTGAGGTGTGAGGTAATCATTGTTAAAACCTGTATTGAAGTATAGGTTTCATTTTTGCAACCACCGTAAGTCTAGCTACATAATATGTTTTACTGATAGCTTATTCAAGCATTCTTATCAATATATTATATTATTTATTTTCCCTTTTTATGGGGGAGTAATATGAACTCTGCTTAGGCACGAATCGAGTGATAAGGCAACTTAATGTTTGTATTGATTTATTAAATTTAACGGGTATCTGTTTTGTATATTTAACAGAAATAAGTGAAATTTAAAAATACAAACATTCCCAAACTACGCTCATCTATTGCATTGGGTAGAAGCGGTTTCAATTACTTGTGTGTTGATGTCGTAGTAGCTGAATCTCCCTTGAAATTATTTTTGCTAGAGGCAGTGGACCTTTTTTGCTTCCCAACATAGTTCATTTATCAGATACATAGACTCGTGTACTTGGCTTTGGGACACACTTTAGTTATGATTATTAATGCCACCGGTTGCTAAGACTGAAATGGATACAAGGAGGTTCCAACCTCTAGCCTAGTGGCTAGAAGCCATACTCCTTAACCACTGAATTAACACTGCTTTTCTGACCGTTAAGATAATGTGGCCGAGTACGGTATCAAGCCGTCAACATCACATTATCTTGTTTGTCCCATATTACTGTTCTGCCGTTTATACATTTATGCAGTGAGATGTCGTCTATGAAATTGCCAAGCGGGTTTAGGATATATGATATTTAGAGATCACCAAACGACCGTTCTAAGGTGCTATTCATAGTATAAACATCCAGTTCATCGACAGTGTCAAGATCGAACTTTTAGATGAATGTTGCTACTAAATGGAATTTATAACTCCTCTTAACTAACTGGAAAAAATAATGAATGTGAGGTTATGAGATGTTACATAGTTGAGAAGAATCTCAATATCAGCAGTTAAGATACCTAAGGAAAAACATAATTGGGGTCAATAGAGTCGATAATTTTGTCCATGATATTGGTGTCACTAATTTAGATTTGGTTAACTTATTGGTTTTAAGATATAATTGCATCCTTTTTGAACAGAATTTAGATGCGAGATTTCATTTATTTTCATTAATATGTATTCTCTAGGTTCAGACTTATCATCGACAGCAAATCTTAGTTCAAGTGTTTTTGAACCTTTGAAGCCTATTTCTACATTCAGTGGGTTTTCTTTCCCGAAACCAGCTATTACATCATCGGCTAGTGTTCCTACTAGTGATCCATCATCGGTAGCTGAAAATATAGTTCAGTCCGACAGTAGCAGACCGTTTACTTTTGGTTCAATTAATTCCCAACCCATTTCTACGGCTTCCATTTTTACATTTGGAGCGTCGACAGTGACCACATCCTCACTAAAACCAATCTCATCCGTTAGTTTTGGATCAACTTCTATACCATCATTTTTGGGATCGTTTTCCAACTCTGGACCTGTGTCAAGTAGTTTTGTCTTTGGTGCTAACGTGTCTAAACCTTCATCAACCATTTCAAGCGATGCTTTTGGTCAGATAACGGGTACCACGTCATCACTAAATACTGTAGCAAATAATGTTGGTTTGTTTACCTTTACATCCCCAATTACTAATACTTCTGGCGTGTCATTATTTGGATCAAATTCTGTTAACATCAGTTCTACAACTGTATCACTTCCCACAAACACGTCTGTATCTGGTTTCAGTTCAACTACGATAAACTCATTACTTAATCCAGTGTCTACAACATTTTCAACAAACTCATTTACTCTTGGAATTAAACCAGCAAATGTAATTCCTGCCAAAACTACATCTTTATTTGGAGCTAGTAATTCAATTTTCGAAACTCCTAATACATCATCGTCTTTAAAATTCAATTTTAATCAGTTAACTTCTAGCGCCGCATCTAATGTAGCCATCACCAGTGGAATGTCGTTTGGTACGACAATTGTGACTACAACTGTAACTTCCGTAACGCCTGCTAGTACATTGTTTCAGTTCGGTAGTTTCAGTTCTAATTCAAAGCCATCTGCAGCTTCCGTTTCTCAACCACTCTCTTTTGGTTCCTCAGTGCCTCAATTTTCGTTTGGCCAACACTTCACACCTGCATGTTCACAACCGAGCACCCTACCAACTTTGTCATTTTCCTCGCTTAATTCGGGTCCCATAACTACTACCACTAACTCTTTTCAATTCTCTTCAACTCCCGTATTTTCTAATATTAATCCGCCAACTAATTTTAGTGGCTTTAATTTCTCTCTACCCCAAACATCTACACCAAGTGTAATTACACCTCAAACAAATGCTTGTTTTGTTTTTGGTCAAACACCGTTAAGTACTGGCGTTGCTAATTCCAATCCATTCACTTTTAATACATCTTCAACTAGTCCTCCATCTAATGCTCCGAATGCGCCTCGACGTCGACCACTTTCAAGCAGACGCTCTCGTCGTCCATGATTTTCTTTGTTTATAATGATGTAATTATATTCTTATTGTTTTATCAGATGAAACATAAACTGGACAGTATTTTTTCATTAGAGTTATTGTGCTTGCACTTGCGTGTGCGCTTGTGTAAGCATTAAAAGATTAGCGTTCTAATCGGAACAAAGTCAAACTTCTTTGTTGTTAATTGCAGTTGTGTAAATGACAGTTGTTTTCCGCTTATCTTTACGTGGTGCCGTTTGAAACTATATACATATATTCTCCCTCTTCGAATAAATGCAAATTTTCCTAATGTGTATATGTAAAAACATATTGAGTTAGTTACTGTATATTCCCTATTTTCCCCTTTGGCTTTTATTTTCAATCCCATATGAAAATTATTCCTAACGTTTTTTGAAGAGGGGGAATGATATTACTAGTGTCACTACAAGCTGATATGTAATATATAATTACCAATTGCTATTATTATGCTTGGAAAAGATTAGTTTGTTTTTATTCATTTCTCATTTTGTTTTGTTTAACAAAATCATGAATACAGTGAGTTCGTATAGAAGAACTACTGTTTTCAATTAAGCATACAGTAATGTGCTCCGGTAATGCATTAAATTACTAATATTATAGGCGTTTCAAATAAGGGGGTTTTATGAAACTGTATTTTCCCGTGGATTTATGCAGTGTTTTGTTTACTAAGAAAGGTGATCGATGAAAGGGGAGATAACCTTTTTAATGATGTGAAATATGTTCGATTTACCCTCTGTCCCTCTGACTTACGACCAATTGAAAAGGCATTTTTCTAAACGTATGATGAGTCTACTTTCAACAAATACTGTAATTTTTCGAATTTGGTAACAAATTGTCATTAAAGCAATTAGTCCTTTTTATAAATTTCAATAGTGCAATGAGAAGACGGAGTTGATCTTATCAATTCCATCTTCAAATTGTTATTACCTTAATCATGTTATCTCATACGTCTATTTCGAGCAGTTGTGATATAACTTGTCAAAAGGGATGTTTGTGTGTGTGTGTGTGTCGGATTCCCAGCAGATCA